TTTTAGTACATTTCTGCTACTTGTGATTATGCGTCAACATTTTTCTAAGGTCATGATTTTCTGAAAGAATAAAGCATTGTTTCCCAAAATAAGAATCTGGGCTGCAAGTTAATTTTTATACTAAAGAGGGAATTCTTTAATCCATATATCTACCTACTAATAATGAATTTATACTTATCATCTGATTTCTGCAATTATTTCACAACTACTTAACACCCAGCATCTCTTGAACCCAGAGATTTCCAACCGATGTGCCATGGAGCTTTGAAAACATGCAATATCTCACTATTTAGTCAGGGGTACCAACCTCTTTTCCCTTAGATTGTCAAATAAAAAAAATGACAACAGCCAACACAATACTGTCCAGTGTGAATGAATCAGAATTATCCTTTTAAAAAAATTGTCAGGTGGGCTGCAGAATTTTTGTGATTCGTTTAGATGTGTCATGAGATGAAAAAGGTCAAAAAACACTGTTTTAACCTAATACTACATGTTTCTTTTCTTAGTAATATATTTTTATGGATTTCAGAGAGGAAGGGAGAGGGAGAGAAAGAAACATCAATGATGAGAGAATCACTGACCGGCTGGCTGCCTCCTGCATGCCCCTACTGGGGATCCAGCCTGCAACCCGGGCATGTGCCCTTGTCCAGAATTGAACCCAGGACCTTTCAGTCCGCTCTACTCACTGAGCCAAACCAGCTAGGGCTGCATGTGTTTCTAAGAGGTTAAAATACCAAATATTCCTTTGAATCTATCTCTCTTATGCTCCAAACATATATGGTGCTGCCTCCTCAATTTAAAATATAAAGTTCCAAAGTCCTCTCCAAAAATACTTCTGATATCCTAAATTCTTATTTTTACCACAGCAGTTCTCTGTTCCATTAAAAAATCATGTCATTTCTGTCAAATATAGTTTCTATTTTGTTCTTGGCTCCCACATCTACTTGAGCTACCATCCTCCTCATTTCATTTCTGCTATTCAAATCATTCTTCTAATCCTATCTTTTCTCTGAAAATATTATTTTCCCAACAATCATTGTACAATGTGGTAATTAATCACATTCTCGATTTTGTCATTTTTTATTCTTTACTAAATGATGTGAAACATTTTTATTGTTTAACTTGTGTGTTTATATCTCTATTGCAAGCTGCATTCATATCAAGGATGGGACCATGCCTTATGTTTTGCAGTCTCCTCACTACATGGTAGACTTGTCAGAATTTATCTGCTGACATTAATAGAAAGCTTATATCTAAAGACAATTTAGTATACAACTCCTTAATTTATACAGTCATATAATAATTATACTTAGGGCAAGTTTTATATCCTGAGCATTTCCCCTCACCCTTCATGGTTATGTTGCCTATTTATAGTCACTGTAAGTATTTTCTTTTTTAAAAAAAGTTTAAAAGTCATCCTCGGTATATATATTAAACAGAAATTTAGGGTTATAAAACACTTAAAAAAATCTTGTTTGGAGAGAAAGCAGCCAATTTTTTGAAGGACCAAGAAATTCAGCAAGATATATTGAAATAATTTTTTTTTTAAGATTACACATTGCGCCCTAACCGGTTTGGCTCAGTGGATAGAGCGTAGGCCTGCGGACTGAAGGGTCCCAGGTTCGATTCCGGTCAAGGGCATGTACCTTGGTTGCGGGCACATCCCCAGTAGGGGGTGTGCAGGAGGCAGCTGATCGATGTTTCTCTCTCATCGATGTTTCTAACTCTCTCTCCTTCTCCCTTCCTCTCTGTAAAAAATCAATAAAATATAATAATAATAAAAAAAGATTACACATTGCATTTCAAATACACGAGGAAACAGGGATACTTAATAAATGAATCTTAACTAACTTTAAACGGCTTACTTTTTCTAACCACAGTGGTGGGTGCTATGTGGAACCTATAATCCAGCTGAAGAGGTAAGACTCTCTTCACTCCACTACCAATTCCCACCATTTTTTAAGTTATGGCAATACCTTATCTTCAATTATTTGATTTAAAATTCTCTAATGTATCACATGACATATCTTTATTTTAAAACTAGAAGGCTGGTGCACAAATTCGTGCACCAGTGGGGTCCCTCAGCCTGGCCTGCGGGATCGGCTGAAACCGGCTCTCTGACATCCCCCAAGGGGTCCTGGATTGCAAGAGGGCGCACACTAGGCAGAGGGACCCCACTGGTGCACAATCAGGGCCAGGAAGGGACACAGGAGGTTGGCCAGCTTGGGAGGAACCGCAGGAGGGCTCCAGGGCATGTCCGGCCCATCTAGCTCAGTCCCGATCAGCCGGACCCCAAGTAGCAAGCTAATCTAATGGTTGGAGCGTCTGCCTCCTAGTGGCCAGTGCACGTAGTAGCAAGGGGTTGAGCGGCCTTAGTATATCATTAGCATATTATATTTTGATTGGTTGAACGGACGACTGGACACTTAGCATATTAGGCTTTTATTAGGCATACTAGAGGCCCGGTGCACAAAAATTTGTGCACTGGCGGGGGGGGGTGTCCCTCAGCCCCACTTGTGCCCTCTCACAGTCTGGGACCCCTCGGGAGATAACGACCTGCTGGCTTAGGTCCGCTCCCGGGTGGCAGAGGGCAGGCCCAATCCCTAGGTGCAGCCCCTGGTCGGGCTCAGAGCAGGGCCGATTGGGGAGCTGGGGCGCCAGCCCCTGTCATGCACAGAACAGGGCGGATCGGGAGGTTGCGATGCCACCCTCAGTCACGCTCAGGGTAGGGCCGATTGGGGGATTTGGGCACCGCCCCATCACACTCAAGGCAGGGTCGATGGAGAGGTTGCGGCGCCACCCCGTCACGCACAGAGTAGGGCCGATTAGGGGGTTGGGGTGCTTCCCCCTGTCACGCACAGAGCAGGGCCCATCAGGGAGTTGGGGAGCTCCCCCGTCATGCAGAGCAGGGCCCATCAGGGGGATTGGGGCTCCGTACCCTGTCATGCACAGAGCAGGGCCAATCAGGAGGTTGGGGAGCTCCCCCCATCACGCACAGAGCAGGGCCCATCAGGGGGTTGGGGAGTTCCCCGCTGTCATGCACAGAGTAGGGCCGATAGGAGAGTTGGGGCACTGCCCCCTGTCACACACAGAGCAGGACAGATCAGGGGGTTGTGGCCCCGCCCCCTGTCACACACAGAGCTGCAGGGCAATCAGGGGGTTTGGGCGCTGCCCCCTGTCATGCTGCTCCAGGGGCCAGGAGGCCT